AGCTTCTCTGTGGCTGCACCACAGAGATGAAGGGAGAGATGAGGCCTCATTTGGGAAAGCACAGCAACACTTAATTCTGTCTTATTAGCAAGCATTGCCGCTACACAACATATCTACAAACAACAATACTAAAATCTTCAGTTTACTTATTCCAGTGTTGGTAATTTACATTGGGATTAATAAACCATTTGAAGAAAAACAACAACAACCCTATAACTAACTAAAAATAACTATAAGAACATGACTTAATAATAAAATATAATAATAAATCTGAAGGAATTTTTTTATGGTTGAAAGTAAAAGTCTTTCTTTCTTTTTCCCTTATCATTGTAGCTCCATGTGTCTCCCTGTTTCTCACTGTGTCCCTTCTTGACAGTTTCTTCTAATTTTTTTTCTTCCTTCTGGAATTTTGAAGCAACTGTTATCTTCATCCTCATCCATGGACATTCTGAGATGGATAATGACATGATGTTGTGTATTACTGCTGAGCTGGGTGTTGTAGTGAAAACTTGGACAGAAAGATGTGGATGAGCTGTGCAGATGTTCAGCTGTGCTCCTGTCTTTTTGTCTGCAGGATAGGGGGATGTGAACTAACACTGAGATGTTGTGAAGATCTGGCCTCAGTTCTTCAGTCTCAACACTCCAGTCTGAGAGAGCTGGATCTAAGTCACAATAACCTGGGGGATTCAGGAGTGAAACTGTTGTCTGCAGCTCTGAGGGATCCCAACTGTAAATTAACAACACTGAGGTAAGAGAACACTGGTGATTTCTTTTTATTTTATTATTTTATGTAGAAATGCTGAGGCACACAACATTCATTTTTTTCACACGCATTAAAAAAGAAATACATAGGAAGTACAGAACAAAAATGAAGGGGGGCATCTAGAAAGACAAAAAACTGCTATACAGTTTTATACAAGTTCTTGTTCTTGGCTTCTTTGTTAATATCTCATTACTGAGAGACTCGACATGCAATCTTTCCCATTTGCCCATCTTTTTTACACAAATGTATAGGTTGTGGTTGATTTATAATTCTGTGGGTAATATTCTTCATGAATTCAATTTACTATCCACAAGTGAATACATGAAATATAAAACTGTTTACAATATTTATATACAAACACATGAAGACAGCACAGGGAAGAGGAACACAAGCGGTGTCAAAGAAAATAAAATATCAAAACCAAACTAATCGAGCTAATATAGCGCAGTAAAACCTATTTAACCCAAACAAAACACAAACAAAAAGGAGTCTTGGGACGCCCTAACTAACCTTCACTAACTAGCAAAACCTAAATACAAGGGTGGCACTTGCCCTTAACCTAGTGTGTCTAGACAGTCGAAACCAAACCTAGGTGTGTGCAAAGTGTATGTCACGTGACGTTCTTACCTGTTCACTTTTTCCCCAGGATGCATAAAGTCACAATCAACAAATGCATGGGGAAAACAGGTAACCCACTGACATACAAAATAACTAGCATGGTAATAGCGATAATTAGCGAAAAACCAAGAAACTAAGAGAAGTGAGCAAAAAGCTGAGATGGTCAAAACTTTTTTAAACTTGCGGTCGTGGTTCTGATTGGCCGGGGGTAAGGTGGTGACGGCATCGCTAATGAAGAATGGCAGAAAGATGTACCAATGACGAACTGGGTACCTGTACAGGTAAAGTGAAGGGGAGAGAGAGACGGAAAGAGAAAGAAACAAATACAATAATACTATTAATGATAATAAT